AATCTCTTTCCTCCCAGAGACTGTGTGACTTCCAGGCAGAAATATTGATCCTGACTTAGTCTACAGCAGCATGGATTGATAATCAGTGTTCCAAATATAAGTTGGAGGATTCTGTTCCCAAATGACAGCTTTTATCTCTTTCCCTCTTCATTTATCTTCACTTTTTTAAAGGTCGTAATTATTAAATCCCCCCCACCCACCCACTCAGATTGGGAAGCTGAAACAATAGTAAAAAATTTGAAACTAATGCAGAAATATCATATGGTGGAGGTGGTGGTTTAATTACTACAACATGGAGATTTAAGCAGACAATAAAAATGAGCAAAGAGTGATCAGGTTTCCTTTCTTTGTAGGAAGGAAGACAGTTGAGGTCAATCAGTTCTCAATGACTCCTTCATGATGATTTAAGAAAAATGAGAAAGAACTGGATGCATTTCCTTGCTTGCTCACTGTAGAATAATTCAGATGGGAATAGCTAGATGGAGACTGACAGTCAATGAAAATGGGACAGACAGACAGGGGGCATGCAGGGAGAAACTAAGCAAGCATCTTGGGCATGGAGATGGGATTGCAGGGGCAGGTGGGTACAGGAAGAAGTTGGGCAACCGAGTAGGGCACAGAGATATTTTGCACGTGTTCACATTCTTACAACGGTGCATTTGCCTAGACATCACACCATCTGAAAGCTTAGCTCAAACCCAATCTTAAGTTTAACTGGATTTTGTTTACAATTTAGATTAAGATTCATATGAACCAAATGCAAACACTGGGACATCAGAGAGATCTGCAACAAATTCAAATGAGTTTGGTTCCTATGAATCTGACCCATGGATTCTGCAGCAGACCATGTTTACGCAAGTCCCATAGATTCCATGGACATGCAGACCGTTTGGTGTACATTCCGCAATGTTATGCAAATCTAGTTGTAGAAAAATAGAGATTTTTTTTAAATAATGAAAATAAGCATTCCTTCCCCTCTGTCTACTCCTGGGTAAAAAGTGAAAATATACGTTTGGGAAAATGTGTGTATTTTGGCGGCATATGTGCATTTTCAGAGGTACAAACTTACACAAGTGCAAAGGAGCACTAGTTCAGGAAATGGAAAAAAGATCTGATTCCACCAATGAGTGCATAGCAGAATGAAAAGCGCCTGGCAATCCATGAAACACAGATGGAATGGATTGAACAAAGTCTGTACAGTGGCAGGCACACAGCACTGAGTACTCCTGCAGGAATCATTCTAGGTATATTTTACTTCCATAATTTTGCACTTACTGTTTATGCACAGAAACAACGTCCACAAATTTTTCTCATAAGACAGATAATGTTCACTTGTGTCATCTGACTAGTCTCTTCCGCTTTGCATTCTAGTGTAAATGCAGTCATTCCTTGTAGAAATGTTGCTCAAACCACTAGGGTATGACTCTGCCAAAGCAATTTTTTCTTATTTAAAATCCTCCCATGTATTCAGTTTTATTTTTAAGGCCTTACACCTATTTAGCAAATTCTTTAGAACTATTTTTTTGTGTGTGTGCATGTGCACGTGTACACACACACACACACACACACACAGCACCTCCCAGAATTGGCATATGTTTTATAAGATACTGAAAATACCATTGGATTTTTTTTCCATGGATCAGCTGAAAATTTACATGATTTCCATTACAGTGATAAAGTGGTCAAGATAATATATTAGATCAAGAGACATGAACTGAGTAGTCCATCTAGGCAGCAGCCAGTTATAAATATTTTTAATAAATATGCAAAGATGATATTCTGTCACATAAAATAGCCAGTCAGTGCTAAACCTGCCATGCATTCTTGCCTGTAACATTCCAACTCCCCAAATTAAATAATCATGTCTATGAATATAAAAACCCCTTTTGCTCTTTGGTATCTGCATTTTGCACAAGTTCTTTCTGTTTCATTTAGATTACCACAATATTTTATCCATGAATATCTATTTATTTATACAAGTTGCAGATCTATTTGTAATACCCATTTGGATTTTTTTTTATTTCATAGTTGTATTCAGGATTGTATTCAGCATTGTTTATCGATACCTAAATTTTCCCTTATTCCCAAGACAGAACAAAATGGAACTGAATCGCAGGACCGTGCTCAGCTGGTGCACCATTGTCCAGGACAATGTGCTAATGTGAACATATATTACAGTATGAATACTGATTGAAGGGGAAATCCACTGACTGCTAACACTCTGCTCCCTAGACCTAAAATACATATAGAAAAGCAAAGATTGCTCCAGATATGGTTAGCATTACAATACATACAGTGTACATTTAATGAACATATACCCCAACAGTTCCACCCACCCCAACATTGCTTGGATCAGATAGCACATTTGCTGCTCATCATTTCTAAATGATACAAAAGTGGCAGCAGCAAGTATCAAAGCCCCAAGCAGCATTTTCTTGGCCTCACTGTCACAGAGAGAATTATGACTGCAAAAGCTAGGGTGCAAATCCTAGGCATTGCCATTAGTGTGGCAAAGACACATGTCAGTCAGAAACTCAAATGAACTGCTCCTAGCCATGTAAACTGCATGTCCCCCACCCACAGGAGTTTTGTGGTCCCAAGCAGTTCCCAAGTCTCTGTGGCGCAGCCCCTGCTGCTACCAAGCAACTCGATCCCCAGCAGTTCTGGGAATCACCGTGCAAAGCTGATGGCAGCCTGCGGGGAGCACAATTCTACCGGGAAATAAGAAACCTACTGTCTGCACATCTTGTTTTCCAGAAGAATCTGAAAGTATCCAGCTGCACCCTCCAGTTGCTCAGCTTTGGTATAGACACTAGTGAGCAACATAGAAAGCTGTCATCGACTCAGCTGTTGGTCTATGAGCCTAGCTTTCTATGAACTAGGCCTAAAGTTACACAGGTTCAAGGCTTGACTCAAAACAACCAGTTCACTGGGTGATCTCAGGCCAGTCAATCACTCTGCAATCATGGGATTGCAGCCAGGGAGGAAAGCCATGCGTGTTGCCTGGACCTTCCTGGAAGAAAGACAGGAAACAAGCATAATTATTGAATGCAGGCAAGTTCCTAATACAGAAGGTTGCCTTCCGTGCTGAAAGGTCAGATGCAGAATGTGAATATGATGAAAATGTTGACTTCAAAAGTGAATGAATGTGAAACACTCTATAGCACAAACTTGGAAGTCTTCCTGTGATCAACCGAACTTGGCCCCCGGTCAAGGATGTATGTAGCATTGCAGCTTTGCTTCCTCTTCTCTAGTCCAGTAGCTGGAAGCCATGCACCCGCTCCCCTGCACTGCTTTTCAAGGGAAGTCAGTGGCACCCAGATGCTTCTGAAAGCAAAGTGAGATGTGCTGCCCATGGCCTTGCCTCATTCTTGTACCTAGAACATTTAACTCTGTAAATCACAAATGTGTTTTGGGAACAGTTCTGGCAAGAAACACTGCACTTATGAGATGTCACATACTCATTCACCAACCTCCAAGAGACCCCTGTTTGTGCTTTTTTATTTTATTTTGTAGACTACAGCTGGACTACATTCCGTGAAAACTTATGCCTTATGTGGAAACTTATGTGGAAGCCTTTAAGATGCTGTTTTTGCTACAACAGACTAAGATGATGGTTACCTTCTGGAAATTGTTATGAGAGACAAAACAATCTGATCCAAAGCTTACTGGAAGCTGTATAGACAAGTGGAGCTCCAATCAAATAGGGACCTTTTCATCACTTGGGTGCTGAGGAACATTGTGCACAGAATACCTGATACTAAACAATCGGTCGGCTTTTAGGCACTCCAGATGCATTCCTGTTGTCTCCTCTGCAGTACCTGCACTGCATTTCACAGGACTTCCTGTGCAAACATGCTCTACCAACACAACCATTTTCAAGAATGTATAAAAACTGCCTCCAATGGCATCAGTAAATACAATATAAGTCTGATTAAAACAGAGTCCTAAACGATCCTTTACAGGCCACTTTGTTCCCCTATTAAGATGCTACTTGGTTCTTTGATTTATCTGATAATAAATTTTTGATGACTAGGTAAGTCCCATTAAATTGCTCTGTTGCCGACTCCACTGATTAATAAGTCTGAGGAATTGAAACTGTCAGGAATTCATGTGTTAAGGGTGAAATTACTTCCAAACATGTACTAGATCTTCCATAACACAGAGAATAAAAACAAGGTTCATTTGGCAATATTATTTTGCATCCATTTGTTTAATCCAGTTTATATTCAGGCTCATCAGTGGTAAGCCTTCCATAGCTTTCCTCTGCTTAAAACAACTATTATTCTAAATCCTGTTCTAGAACTTTAAGGAAAGGCTGTAATGAAAATGACATTCAGAAGTTAGTTAGAAATCAACAGAGGGTTTGGAGAGGGGAGGAGTTATTTTTAGACCATGCAGTTCTCGGCTGAAAACCGAATCATGTCAAATTTCTTTGCTCAAGATAAATTACAGCCTGTGTTTCCAATCCAATGGGTTGCACAGAAGCTCTGCTTGCTTAAGATCCTTTTCTGTTAGTCTCCTACCTTGCTACCTATAAACTGTTCCTGAAAATCAGGAGAATTTCTGGAATAGAAAAGGGGGGGGGGGAAGACACAGAAACACTTGCTAGTTAAAAAATCTTTCGGATTGTGGCATATGGCTTGTGTTAATGTCATTGCCTAAAAAAGTGCAGAAGTCAATGGGGCAAATCCCCAACTGTTATGATAATGATATATAAGGAGCTCTAAATGAGGCTGCAGCAAGAGTTTGCACATTCTACACTATCAGAAGACAGCATGCTGAGAATCTTTGATCTTGCTGAAACAAAAAACAAGTTTCTAGTTCTTACGGATGCAGATATAAGATAAACATATGGGATGCAGGGGCTCTAAATATTGCTTCAGCAGCAGATGTATACAAAGCACTCTCTCTCACACATACACATATATGCATGTTTCATTTCTTAATTTTATTTACATTTCAATACTTTGAAAACAACCACAGCCACAACTGATATGTACAGTCTGGACTTTTAATTATTCACGGTTATGCACCAGAAACATAGTATAGATTTGTGAGAGAGCAAGCAGTGTGACTCTAAATAATATCAGAAACATTTGGGGACAATTCACATGATGGTTTTTAGGTCAAGAAAGGCAGAGCAATAGCAGCTAAGATGCCAGGAGCTAATTTAAGCATTCTGCAGGGCATGGGCATGCTTTGTGGAATTTGGCAATCCTTTTCTTCCTTGAACACCAGACTGTTGTGCCATATCACAGCTGGCCTTCCAATTCTGAGGGTTAAAAGTGGCTAGCTAATGCCATTGTGCTGCAGTTGCAGAGAGTCCTGGAAGGAACTCAGGAGTTCCGGGCTCTAGGCTCCCACTTGGCTATCAGTCCACTAGGTAATTTGGGACCTGTCACCAGCTCTCACTTATCTACTTCCCAGGGTTGATGTGAGGATAAAAGGAGAGGAGGTGGTTCGCATCTGCCACCTTGGCCTCCTTGGAGAAAAAATGCTAGGATATAAATGCAACAAACAAACATGTTCTTGAACACGTGGAACCAGCTGTGTGGGTCTTCGGATCACATGCAATGTGATTTTCACTTCATTTTGGGCTGAAGTTCTGTGAGATGGGAGAGAGGAAGAGACATGCTTCACTGGTGTCCATGGACTTAGGAGGCCCTGTCCTGGGCTGCAAGCCCCTGTCCTTGAGAACAGGCAACTGGGTGAAAGTTATTTTGCTTATGTTTTTGAATCTATACATAAATTAATATGATTACCACAATTATATGATGCAGCACTTATTAAAATGCTCTAGGTAGCATAAAAATATACATTTACCAGTTCATAAAGTGCAATGAAATGGTTTCAGGGTTTAACTTTACGCACATTTTAAATAACTGGTGATAATTATAGATCTGTGGCAGCAACCCGTATGTTAAGGCTGAGATTAGTGTTTCAGGAAGTGAGATACTGCTATTTTTAAGGAGACCTGTTACATATTTAGTGTTATAGGTTGGCAAGTACGTCTTAAACTTCCTTGGAGATTGTTAGCAAAATGGCGGGAAATTTCTTGTAAGAACCTACATGGTGACAGGAGCACTAGGGCAAAAGGCCTGTTTCTGTAATGCACTGATCATTTGCCTCCTATGCAAAAGGTGTCCAGTTCAAAACTGGGTGGAAGCATCCACTGGGGAAGGACCACAGGGCGGAGACAGTCTTGGCTTCTCTGTAAAGATAAGCAGGCAGCAGGCCATGGGATAAACCTCTGTGGTCCGAGAGGCCAGAGAGACACGGCCAGTCTGAGCAGACCACACCAGGCTACGTGGGCAAATGTCTTGACCATACACTATACCGATTCTTATTTTCATGAAAGCTTCCCAGAGGACTAAAGCTATCCCTTGTCATCCCAATCTTGCTGGATGTATGAGTGCATGACGGCACATGACTCCTACAGAGGAACAGATGACCTTTTTTTCAAGTAGTAACATTCTGAGCAGGCATGCTGAGTGTTGTGAGCAGCTTCATCCCTCCTTCTTTTCCACTACAGCAGACTCAGAAGCACAGACTTTTTTTATCAAAGCGTAACAAGTTACAGAATGGTTAAATCAGAGCAGCTTTCTCTTTGTAGGAAAAGCGTAGGAGAAGCCCAGGGAGAAACTTCCATCCTTCTTCACTTTTCAGGAAGCTTCCAATTCCACCCTCAGGGTGACTCCTTGAAGTGTGGATGGCAGGAACGCTGGACATGCCATGATGGATCTGCTCATTTTACCTGTCAGCTCCTGAGAGGGTCAAGAATTCCCACTGCATCCTCTCCTACTCCAGCCCTGGAAGGCCTTCTTCTCTTTGCCAGGTGGGCTGCTTCTCACACCCTGTCTGAACATCTTCACTAGGTAACCTTGAAAGGGCCAAGTCATCTGCCCCCTCTGTACCCCAGACAAATCTACCTGAGCTGAATGCAGAGTGTGAGAACTGGGTCCCCTCTATACTGAGAGGGTTTATGGCACCACCAAAAGGATCTCAAGATTTGGGAAGCAGGCAGTGGGAACAAGTGCTTGGCAAGATGTTTTTCATTTAGCAACTCATCAACTGTTTAGCTCAACTTCCTGATGTGCTGGACTCATCATCCCCAGCTAGGGCCATAGTGGTGGTAGCCCAATGTGTCTGGAGCGCATCTGATCAAGGAAGGCTGATCTCTGCATTTCTTTGTTACTTTTCTCTGCAAGCAGAAGTAGGCAAATTGCAGTCTTTTGCAGGACCAGCATTCCCTAGTTGCCTATGCACAAGAGCTGCAAGAACTGAATCTTCTTCTGTTCTGTGCCTCCCAGTACTACAGTCACTGGTTGCTCCAGACACATTTCCCTTCCCCAGTTCTGATAGCAGAAGTGAGCTGCTAACAGGGAAAGTGCTTGGGACGAACTATAGACAGGTTGGGAAGTTGCAGTACCTCGTGTGTCTTTTAAAGTGTGCTCCCCACCCTGCGCTCCCATGCATTATATCCAAATGGGTGGGATACATGGAAAGAAATATATATCATTACATCTAGAAGACAGAGCTTCAGTTCTCCAATAAAATGGAGTTAAGCCATGCATTTGCTCAATCTTATTTCCTCATCCTAACTCATATTCTATCACAAGGCTATCATTTTGATATGAAATTTTAAAAATCATTTATTTTAAGCCCTTTTCCTCTGCTCATCAACACGTTCGTAGAAAGACTGAGTAAAATATGCTGCATTGATACTGACAAGAGTCAAGCATCTATGCATGAAAAGGCAGACACCCTTGCACTGATTCCACCCTCAGGAGCCTCCTTTTCAGGAGGTGAAGAACCACTGCTATCGACAGTCATGTTCTCACAAGCATGCTGACATCCTGTGAAGAAATCCATCTGGCTTTCCCATCCCCACAAGTATAAGTTTGCTGGAGGAAATGAAGAAAAATATGTTAAATTTCAGGTTAATGTTCCTGGCCATTATTATTTTGTGTCTTCTGCCTTTCACCATAAAGGTATTCTGAAAATTGTCAAAAATAAAATAAGTACCAAGCCCATCTAAGAGTTGTCCCAAATTACACTGAAATCACTTCTAGGTAAGCCTTTAAAAAGTGGATGATCTCTCTCCATAAACCAAGAGCAACTGGTAGACCACCCCCCCAGCCGAGTTAAAAACTGCCAAGCATAACACAGAAGCCTCCAAAAACATCAGCTTGAAATAAGAAATTGGAGCTCAATAAAAAGCCAGCAGTAATAAAACAAGATATGACTGTATAGAGAATAGAAATTGCAGTCTGCTCTGTTTTATTATAAAAATGTGACTTTTTAATTTATGTCTCAAATAAAAAACAGCAACATATATAGTAACTCATCTAGACCAGTTGTAAATAACCTATCCAGGAAAAAGAGTGCAAGCATTTTGGAAGTTATAAAGGGGTTAAGTTTTCCTCCAAACTTTCATGCTATTCTTACTAAACAGCAGAGACATGGGCTCCATCTCTAAAGGTTAACATTTTTCATGATTAGCTCTTTGGCCTCAAGTTTGCTTTGTCTGTCCATGCAGAGCCTTTTCCTCTTTCTGCTGCTCTCCTTAGTTACTCATGCTAAGGAACTGAATGTACTAGAGTTAGTTCCAAGAGTAGGAGTTACAAAGGGTTAAACAAAGATTAAGACATGTGGTCCCAACTTGGATCAGGACTACACTATCCCAAGAATGGGTTTTGTAGCCCCTCCCCCCATTTTTATCCTGAATTTCCACCCCACTACTTCCATTGGAATTTCCAATCCCCTTTTAAACACTTCTCCCATGGGATGGGTGGGTAGAATTCCATAATGGGGTGGAGAAGTTTAAAGCTTGTACCTTGGAGGGCCACGGTCCTGATCGAAATGGGAGCTATGCATACCCAAATGAACCTGTCTTGCACAGCTAAGCCATACATGATTGCAAGGATGACAGTTTGGCAAACAATGGTGGATTCAGATTGTCTCTCAATCATTTCATGTGGGTACACACTCCTAATGGCAATGCTTTTATCCCCAGCCACTAGAATGCTTCCAGACGAGGCTTTTACTGCACCATTGCCCTGTTTCCTTCACACAATGCTTACGGGCTCCAGATGGCACCTTCCACTCATAAGCCCCCAGGGCAGTTTCCCACTACTACTGCATCCTCACCACAGATATTGGTGAAGGAGAAATGAAATGGAATAGGTGCACTTTACCTATTCTTGCAAGAAGCCCTCCATCAGAAACCATCCCTAGTCTTGCAAAAACAAACAAAAAAACCCCCCTTTGTATGGCTGGTCAGCATTGGATGAACATTTCCGCCCATCGATCTACCACATGACACTTTTGTAAACCTTGCATGAATAATGTGGGCCTTCTGATACTACTACTGGCCTAAATACTACCACTGATGTCCCACAAAATCCAATTCTTGCTTCTGTTTGATTGGAGGCATGAGGGCAGGGAGGCTGCATAAGTCAAGGCTATGGAAACTGGTCCCAATACACCTATCTTGCCTCCTGGGGGTTCCTTTGCATGACACATACTGATGCCAAAGTAAACTCTCTTGAAAGCACTTTAATGAGGAAATGGCCCTAAATTCCCCTTGCTTATCATCCAGGTTGACATTTGGGCCTTGAATTAGCAGAATGATGTCGGCCATTCTATTAATTCAGTCGGTGTGCGTTGTGGGGAGGGAGGCATGACCCAAATGTTTCGGCAGAAGCAACCTCGCCACTTCTGCAGGATGCTTTCACACATGTTCCAAAAACTGTGTGTGAGCGCTCTCTCCTCCACTGTCTCTCGAAGCACCAATAGAGCTTCTTGCCACTGCTCAGCACTGCCTTCTTTCATAAAACAGAGATTCAAGTTCTGAAACACATTTTGTCAATGCTGCATCGCCCATATGAGCATCCAAGGAGGAAGACTTCTTTGTGGGTTTGTATGCCAGTCTTTCTGGAACGTGGTCCTTTTCTCATTCGGGTGAAGTTATTGGAAAGACAGTGAGAGTATCGTTAAGGGATAAATCAAAAGTTAGCCTGTGGTCCTGTTTTTTTAATCAGATAAAAATCAGCCTGCTAACACAGATGGTGAAGTTTTAGCACCCTGATTGGCAGGAGTGGGCATCTGAAGGTGTGTGGCCCAGCACATGACTGGCCTTTTCCCTTCTGGCAGGAACTTCAGAGCCAGGCTGCTCCTACTGCCCTGCAGCTGTGATGGGAGGCAGACTTGTCAGGAAAGGGACTCAGGCTCCCTCCATTTTGGATGCTGTGCAAGATGTCAGCAATGGGGCTCTCTCTGCCTCTCCTCCAGCTGCAACAGGAAGGTTCTCTTGCTGCAGTATGTTTTGAGGGAGGAAGGAAAAGAGTCAAAAGCCCAGCTAACCCAGAAGGAGAGGGAGAGGGAGGAGGAGGTGGTGGTGGTGGCAGCAATCAAAGATACAGTGAAATCCTCTGGCCTCCTTCTCTGAATGCTGGAATAGCAAAGACACTATCCTTTTGGGGAAAGAGGCAACAGGCTCTGCTTCAAAGAGCAACCTAATCCATACTACTTAAAGAATTGGAATACGATTCTGCTGTTTCAGAGTGGAGTGAGGCATGCAGGCACTGTTGTGCTTTAACTTTT